ACTCATATGTCATGGGCTATTTATTTTGGAGTATCTAAAAAACATAACTAGTTAAGCATGCCTCCTACTGCGTTGGTATTTGATAACACATGAAAAACCAATAAATATAGACTGTCATTGTTGAAGTTGTTGATGTATTTAGTGGTATTCACATATTTGGAATCAAAGCATCAATGGTTTTTTTGTCAGGTGTTACAAAAGTTGAAGGAATTATTTAATACTGATAGTTTACTTACCAAGTTTCTTGCTACTAGGAAAGAGTTGAATTTGATGAATTTTGTTGGAATTGTGTTTCCAACTTTAGTTAATCTTCTTTTTTAGTTATGCACCGAGAAAAACATTAATGCCAAATGCAATCAATATATTTTGAAGGATATGCAAGAATTAATGTTAAGCTTGTAGAAAATAATTTTATATTATACTACTGAGAAGAAGTACAAGTAGAGTTTGAGATAATTTGAACAAATATGTTCAGATCATCCTCACAAAGAAAATTATAATTTTATGGATAGACTGAGGGGTGCATATTGGAAAAAACGATTGACGATTATGTGGTGTTAGATTAAAAATTAAAGTTGAACTTTTTTAGATTGTCACTTGTTGAATTTTAGATATGATAGTATTGTGTCGCTTAGAAAATTTTAGATATCATAATAAGTTTTTTTAAGTGTTCAAATTCTAGAATCCGAACACCATGTAACCCATGAAACCTCCACCCCACCCCACTTATGCATTCTTTTCATCTCTAAGTCCTCTAATTTGAAATATTGCCATTGTCTCATATATTCACCAAATCTTACTCAAATCATCATTTATCAAACTATTTAACATGTTAGTACATATTTGCTTGATTATTTGATTTTTTGCATTTTTTTTTGCGGATAACTAGTATCATTTCGATTATAGAATACGAGAACACACTATACTACATGACTTTAGATTCTATCATCTGAATTATGCATTCAGATTATTAAAGCAAAATTTAGTAGGCTACATCTTGATTTGATGATTCTTTGATATATTCTTATCAAATTTACTGATTATTTAAGGGTTTTATAAACTTTGAGTGATGATTAGAAATAATATGCTGAGAAATCACACTTGGTTCAACTGTAACTCAACCATTGCCTCAGTTAGACAAGAACACAAGTGTAAGATGCAAAAATAAATAGGTTAATTAATTTAGCTACATTCCTAAAAGCTTGATATACAGTAGCTTGAGGTGAAGTTGTATGAGGTTCAAGCTAAGGTATTTCTCGAAGTCCCATTCGACACATCGATATTGTGTTACATTCTAAAGAGTCTCATATGAAAAAGCTTAGGGTAAAGGTGCCTGAGGTATTTCTCGAAGGCTTGCTCAATGCATTGATATTGTACCTTTACGAGTATTAAATATATTTAAGGGGAGGGAGTATGATACATATTTCCATGAAATTAATTTTACAATTTATTTTCCTTTGCTGCTTTATATTGTTTCTAATTTACTTGATTTATTTTTTCAACTTCATGATGGAATACTGAAATGAATAAATAACAACAACGATATAATTAATTTGACTACCTGGGTGAACAATGCTTCATTGATGCCATTCGAGATAATTAATTGTCTGACCTTGCCACTAGATGTTTCATAATAATTAATCATGGTCTATTGGAAGCCTTTTCTAAAAGATGGCAAAAGGATATAAGCAACTTATTCTTTTGATTAGGGAGATGATAATGACATTAGACGACATTTTATGTCTTCTCCATCGACTCATCATTCACAGTTACCAAAGTTGAAGCAGTATTTGATGGTTGAGATGATCTGATTAGACTCAATTGAAGCTATGTGGGGGCCATGCACAATTTAAATTCCTAAAACACAAGTGTAAGAGACATATTACAACTCCAAAGGTAGATGACAGAGCTAGTGCACAATTCAATAAATGAATGAGAAGTAGTTTGAGTATGAAAATGAAGAGAATATCTGAAATTGAAGTTTACAAAGCTTATATACTGTATAGTAGGCAGTTGAAACCACTTCTTCCTAATTCAATATCTAGTGTAGATCACAGTTTGATTAAATCAAATGGTGAAACGATGGTTGAAGGTTAAAATCACATATTTCGTGCTTGAACAAGGTCCCACTTGTTCCTCACACCTTTTCGTGTGGTGCTTGTGAATGATCCTTTATATATGGGCCTTGCGAGCCACACAGAATAAGTACCTTATAGTTTAAATATTAAGTTTTGAAGAACTTTTAAAATGTAAAACCTAGTATGTTTTAGTTTATCAAAACAAAAATAACTTAAAAAATAATTAACCAATTTTAAATTTTTTAAAAAAAGAAACCACTAAAAATAACTTTTTATCTAAAATAACTTTTAAATTCTCATTTTTTAAAAAAGAATTTATAATAAATAAATATAAACGTCTAATAAATAATTGGATTAAAGTGGTTAATGCGCTTCACTTAAAATGACAAATTATTTAGAAATAAAATAAAATTCAAATCTTGAATGAAATCATTCTAGATCATATTTTACTTATTTCAAATCAAATTTCAAATTATTATCACCTATTTCTATATAAATCTCTTTATTTTTGAATTAGGAAGACTTTGAATGACCTCTTTTCATTTTTCTCTCCATTCTTCTCCTTCCTCTCCATTTCTCTCTTAATCTCACTTCTCTCTAAAGCAAAAAAAATCATTTCATAATGAAGAGAGAGAGATAAAAATCTATTTGTATAATTTAAAGCTAATGGAACAGAACCGAAGAATACATAAAATGGAGTCGAATCGAATGGAACGAAACGTAAACTCCATTTCATTGTTTGATATTTTGCGACAAAAAGAAACTAATATCTTATTCCATTGTTTGGATACTAAACCGAATGAAAAACATTATAATTTCCCCCTTGTTTTTACCCTTTATTTCAAAAACATTAATATGATTAATCAAACTGAAAATTAGATGACAAATTTATAATTGTGTTACTAATTCATTTCATTCAATTGAATAGACCTCAATTTGAATAAAATGAAAAATAACTAAAATAGTAATATTGGATGGAATGAATTTGATCATATTCCATTCAATTTTTTCTTTTAAACATAACACCATTTAATTTTATTCTATCAATTTCCATTCATCTAAATAGACCATAAAGAAGAGATTGAGAAAAAGAAGAGGAATAAAAATATCCTAATCTGATTTATAAAATTTTCAAAGACACTTAAATCTCAAAACTAATATTTAAAGTTTCACAAAATCAAATTGAAATCTTCATTAGTCTTAGCCGTGTGTATTCAACCAAACAATAATACTAAATTCTAAAAGTGATTATTGTTTTTCTTAAAAGTGTTTTTTTTACAAAATTAACATGTAACATGTATGTTCTTATAATCCATTTCACAATAGCTCATAGTAATTGACCATTTGCTTAAATCAAACTACTACTTAAAAAAAATAATTAAAAAACACATTGTAATAATTGATGTTAAAATAAAATAACTATTATTTTTGGACTAAAATAAAAGGACTAATTAAATAATGAAAGTGGCATGTGGCATGCACCTATCTGTGAGCCATCACAACAGCAAAAGGCGTAATAACATTTCCGTCCACAGAATCCGAATCCACCGTAAGTTTATCATATAAATTATCAATAATCTTTGCTTTTCCGTTTGTTATTACAATTTTCCAAATCATAATCTAACACTCAACCCAAACTCGATTCCTTTTTCAGGTAACGATTCAAACCAATTACTCTCTTTTTTATTGGTTTATGTTCAATGAATTTGCTATTATTTTATTTTGATTTGCATTTATGTTCATAGTTTTGGAAGATCATACAATGAGTGATTTGGTAGATTTATTAAATTTTTATGATATGTTTATGAGAGATCCATCATCATCATCATCATCAAGCTAAATGCTGATTGAATGACAAGTGTTTGATTAAATGCTTCTATGAACCTAATTCCAAATTTGGCTGTTGCTGTAGTTGCTGCAGCCCCTTATTTTTAATTTTTGTCTAGTATGTTTGGTAATGTGGTAAGAGGAAGTAAACAAACATGCAGCGTGTGTGAAGCAACTAGTTGTAGCTTTTGCGTAGACGTGAGATGTTACCATGGAAACTGATACTTCCAACAGCATTTGATTTACTGTATTAATAAATAGATGGAAACTTTACCGGTTGATTTTCCTACCTTATCAAGTTGCTTGCTGGCATAAACAAATTTTGTTCGGTAGTGAGTTTAGTGCTTGAATAATCTTTGGTTTGTTTATATTGCCAGCTTCATACATGATAGCTTTGTGTCCCGAAAGAGAATCGTGTTACGTTACTGTTAGAATTTTTTTAATTTTATTTCTAATGAATCCAAGACAACAGAAATTACCTGGAATAAGGGTCTTAAGTACATTATTGTCCTACCAACTTTAAAGTGTTTTAATCTCTATTAATTTCTATGGGATTCAAATTTAATACTAGGAAGGAGTTTATTTAGTTTTCAAAATGGAAGCTAACATTGAATCGTCAATTTTGAATGAAGAATTTGTAATAAACTTGGTTATATGTATTAGGGTTTACTTTTCCACCAGTTTAAGACTCTGACTTCTTATTTTATTTAAATATTTTTAGGTAGTCTGTTTGAGTCATTTATATGCTTTCAACACATGAAGCCAACTTATGAATGACTTAGTCATTTTTATTATTTCCCATGGCCATGAATGGCATATAATTTTAGAGACTTGAATTCACTCATGTGTAGTTAATTTGATTAATCTGTTAAATCGGACCAGTTACTATGTGCTCGAAGTTCTTTGAAGTAGATATTTACACATTTTTACTGTTCTTTTTACCGATATGTAAGTTTGTCTTCATGCTTTGTTGGGCGCAGAGAACTTGTACGATCGTTTGTTATACGAAATTGTTCAAAAATAATTTTGGCTAAATAACATTATAAATTGGGGAAACTTATTTGCAGGAAATTGTTCTATCAGTTAAAGCTCTAAATGGCTTCGTCCACTCTCATATCTGACACACAGGCATGGAAGGAGTTGAAGGTATGACAGGGACAATACCTCTTAATTATGTGTAATGCAAATATTGTGGACATTCATTAAATGCTTCTTTGTACAGGACCATGTTGAAGACATTAAAAAGTCTCATTTACGTGATTTATTGAGTAATGAAGAGAGGTCCCAGTCACTGATGGTGTATGTCACTTACTTTATAAGGCTATATAATCTTACTATGTGATATTTTATGTTTTAGTAGTGACAATAAACTTATGAGATACCCTTTTTGAGGATTTGAAAATATTTAGTGTGACAAATTGAGCCAATACTAGTGTACTCGTGGTGTGATGTAATAACCTTCTGAATTTTGCATTCTTTGAAGTGAATTTGATGGCATTCTATTGGACTACTCAAGGCAGCAGGTCACCCTTGAAACAAAGGAAAAACTTTTCAAATTGGCTGAGGTCAGTTCCTTCATTTTAGGTATTTGAACAGCTTGTGTTATGTTCTGACCGTCAGTCACGTTCTTTTAAAGTATAAGTTATTCCAACTGAAATGCGATCAATTTGATTACTGATTATTGTATCTGTTGGTGTGATATAGGTTGCATCCCTCAAGCAAAAAATAAACCAGATGTACAATGGGGAGCATGTAAGCACTTATATACTGATCCAATGAGTTCCACATATACTGTCAGAACATAAAATAAAGGAGAATTAGTGTTTAGGGAGAACTTATGAAAACAGCTTAGGACAAATCCATAAGCTATTTTCAGTCTGTTTATTTCTATAAGCTCTCCAGGATAGATTATAAAAACAACTTATAGCATGTTTAAAAATGATTTCACTTTATTTTATATTTTGGTATATAAATAGGTTGTCTATAAGCACTTAACTGATAAGTGCTTAATTACGATGTTTATCCAAATAGAGACATAAAGTAGTTAAGATTTTGTAAGTTAATTAGAGGAGTGTTTGTATAAATAGGAGGATACAAGAATAGAGGGAATTCATTAAGTATTTAGTATTGTAAACATTTAATAATAGAGGAGTGGCTCTCTTGTAAAAGGTGAAGCCCTTGTAGGATCTCTGTCTCCTATTCTTTCTCAGTCTTTCTCAGTCTATCAAGGATTAAATTTCTTATTTCTGAATTACCGTATTTTATTTTGGAATTTTTCTCGGACTTTCAGATAAACAGCACTGAGAATAGAGCAGTACTTCATGTAGCCCTTCGTGCTTCAAGGGATGCGGTTATACAGAGTGATGGAAAGAATGTTGTCCCAGATGTTTGGAATGTTCTGGACAAGATCAAGGAGTTCTCTGAGAGGGTCCGCAGTGGATCTTGGGTAATATGCTTGTCAATATTTTTATGTGAACATTGTTGATCTTGAGATGAGAGTACTAATCATATTTCCGCAGGTCGGAGCTACTGGAAAGGAACTGAAGGATGTTGTTGCCATCGGTATTGGTGGCAGCTTCTTAGGTCCACTCTTTGTTCACACAGCTCTTCAAACAGGTTGCTGACACTTTCTTTTCTCTAAGTGACATTTATATTGTTAAGAAATGTGGTTGGGCCTAACTCAACCCTACAAAATCGGTTGGTAGAGTGAGGATTGCTCCCACTTATAAACACATCTGAAGCGTGAAAATAAATGGTGGGTGACCTGATAGCGGAAACCATAGAAGGTGGCCCGATAGCGGAAACCATAGAAGGTGGCCCACCGGATCTTAAACGAGGCTCTTGATACCATGTTAAGAAATGTGATTGGGCCTAACCTCAACCCTACAAAACCGGTTGGTAGAGTGAGGATTGCTCCCACTTATAAACACATATTCATGCCATATATTGTCCGATGTGGGACTCTTAACATATATAATTATCTTCTATTTTTATTTGTAATTTTTTCTAGTACATATGTAAGTGAACACAAGATCCATGTATGTTATCTTTCAAACAAGGGCTGAATATGTATTTATTACATCTTCCAGATCCTGAAGCAATTGAATCTGCAAGAGGACGTCAGTTGCGCTTGTAAGCATCTAAAATTGCTCTGGTGTATGAATTCTGATTTATACTGGCATCTAAGTATACTAAGCCTTTTATAGAAGCATTATTTAAACTATGCCTCATGGTTTGTGCATTGCTGATTATTCTTGAAGATTGGTATACATATCATGTCAGTAAGAATGTAAATTACAAACTTGGCTGTGGAAGGCTTTCTGTTAGAGTCATTTCATGACCCTTTATTCAAGAAGGTCAATGTGTCGTTTAATGGCTGGCATTTGAGATATATTCGGGCCAAATTTTATGTAAATCATTTGTCTTACTGCATGTATGCGATATGTGCTGTTAGAACTGTCTTGCAAAAGCTCAACATATTAAGAAAACCACCTCTTTACATGTAATCAACGTCTATGTATTTGCTTCTATGTGCAGCCTTGCAAATGTTGATCCAATTGATGTTGCGAAAACAATCACAGGGTTAAATCCCGAAACAACATTAGGTAAGTAGATCATTTCAACTTTTCTTACTTTCCTTCACATTTGACTTAAGAGATTTGGCTATCCATCTTGTGTTTTATACGGTTACACTTCTTATTTCTGTAGTTGTGGTTGTGTCAAAGACTTTTACGACTGCTGAAACCATGTTGAATGCTCGAACACTCAGGGAATGGATTATAGCTGCCCTAGGGTAAGTGAAGCATTTAAGGTATTTGATCACTAATTGTTGTAAAGTGATGGTTCTGGTGTCCTATTTTTCTTTTCATATTTTTGTAGAGACTTGCCAATAGGATATGGGAGTTTACTCTTTGGGCTTTGTTTGGATTAACAACTTAATTAAACACTTATCAATGATATCAAACACTTTTTCATTTAACTGTTTCTATAACAATAGGATATGTATAAACTATTTCTATGACAAAATATAAAATGAAATCAAACTCTTTTCATTTAAGCTACAAGCTATTTTTTTAAGTTATTCTGAAGAGCTTCATCTGAATAACCTGAAAAAACAGCTTATGAATCAGTCTCATACGGGCTTATGTCAGCAGATAAATTCAAATTAGTCAATCCAAACATATCCTTGAACTTTTGTAGTATTATATTTGCATCGCCCCATATCCCCATTGGCTTCAAAATATATTTGTATTCATGTTAAAGGTAAATACTAACTGGAGTTAGCAATATTATGAAGACTTGCTTATGATTCAATTTTACTTCAGGCCATCAGCAGTTGCAAAACATATGGTCGCAGTTAGTACAAATCTTGCGGTATAGCTATATGTTATTTTCTTTTTCGCCATTTGCTTGTTGAATTAAAAAAATGTTGATAGTAAATATAATTTATTAAGGCGGCCTATGTTTATTTTTTCTTTTGTCTTAATTTCTGTTGCAGCTTGTGGAAAAGTTTGGCATTGATCCTAATAATGCTTTTGCATTTTGGGACTGGGTTGGTGGCCGTTATAGTGGTGAGCATTTTTGCCTGTTCTAATAAAAAAAGCATAGTAATAGGAAGTTATTTATTTTGACCCCCTTTTTTATATGTTGGTTACAGTCTGCAGTGCTGTAGGAGTGTTTCCTTTATCCCTACAATATGGTTTCTCAGTAGTTGAGAAGTATGTGATTTCTTATTCTGTTGAAGGAAGTTCTATTGAAAAGTTCTATCTATTCATTATATTTATTTGGTTTTTATTTTATATGATTAACAAGGCATTATTCAATGTTCATATGCTTGGTTTTTTGTATCCTGAATTTCTTTTGTGAAGGTTTTTGAAGGGAGCTTCCAGCATTGATCAACATATGTATTCAGAACCATTTGAAAGAAACATACCTGTAAGACCCTACCTTTCTTTGTGCTCTTCAGGTTTTCTTTGCTTTTGTAGATCTCCTGCACATATTATACCAAATTTAAGCCATTTATTTTACTTCAATCTAGTGGCTAGAAAGTAATTATCATGAACAAGCTCATCCTATGCTAAAGGCTTAAGCTATTCACCAGAGGTCCAATAATGATTTTTACAGTAACATCAACTAAGTCATATAGTAGAGTACGGCATCACTTTTGAGAACCAAATATTCTTTTGAATTCTCTCTTACCAATGCCTTACAGTCTCACAGTATCATGTAAATATAGTATATAGGGAACATTAATTTTCATATTTGTTATTATTCAATTCAATACATGCATGACAGAACTCTGCTGTGTAATCTTATATCTTTAAGTTTAAGTTTTTCGTATGTTATAAAAACAATAAACTGCTTCTGAAGATGGAGAATGAGTAACATTAATCCAATGTTGTCAAATAGCCGCTATAGCAGCACTATAATGTAGCATAATTTGAATAAATTGTATTGTTCTGTGATACATTATTTAGTACAACTGCACTATGGCACTGTAGCACATTGGAATTTGATCAACCTACTATTTTCTGCGTTCCACGATTAATGACACTATAGTAATCACACCCACATTTCCTCTTCTTGAGAGTTATTTATCTACATGGCATTTTAATATTTTTATACTAAGTGCAAGATGACATGTTCAATAATATTTTGTCCCTGACCAGGTGCTTCTGGGACTGTTGAGTGTATGGAATGTCTCCTTTCTTGGATATCCTGCCAGAGTGAGTACCTAATATTTGATTGGATTGATTTTATTTTTTTTAATGTATATTGTTGACTCAACAATTCTTAACCAAAAATTTTCAATAACTGAAATTTCTGGTTAAAAAACTCAGGCCATCTTACCTTATACTCAAGCCCTGGAAAAGTTTGCCCCACATATTCAACAGGTATGTTTGTTATTTTTATATGTGAAAGAAGCCTTGAACAATTTTTAATGCTGCTACTCTCTGTTCTTATAGTTAATGTGTGTCTCAAATTAGGTTAGCATGGAAAGTAATGGCAAGGGTGTTTCAATTGATGGCACTCCTCTACCATTTGAGGCTGGTGAAATTGATTTCGGTGAACCAGGAACAAATGGCCAGCATAGTTTTTATCAACTTATACACCAGGTGATATGCGGATTAAGATATCTCTAATTTATTTAATTAGCATACGTGCCTTCCAATCTGTTCATCGATTTGTGTAGATATTAACGTTGTCTCTTTTATGAACAAACTTTGGTGTTAAATTACATATCTATAAATTACATATGTATCTAAATATCTTAATTTCTATTTCTAGGGACGTGTTATTCCATGTGATTTTATTGGAGTTGTGAAAAGTCAGCAACCAGTTTATTTAAAAGGTAAAGTCTCTACTTCCATGTTATGGTTAGTAGTGCTTCTCTTAGGCTTTGTTTGGGGGAACTCAAAATTTGTATTGGAGGAGGGTTTTGGAGGGCTTAGACAAATTGCTCAAATATAATTTTTGTTATAGTATTTCAAAAATGAAAAATATATTAATGATAAACACTATTTTATCATTCTAAACAAAATCTTTTTTCAAAAAATGTTAAAAATTTCTCTATATTACATTTTTTTTCTGAAGCTCTCTCTTCGCCTCTCCAAACTCCCAAACAAAGTCTTAATTTTAAAGTGGTCCTTTTTGTGTTTGAGATATATAATTTAAACTCATGTGCTTTTTTCTATGCAGGTGAGGTTGTGAGCAACCATGATGAGCTAATGTCGAACTTTTTTGCACAGCCAGATGCTCTTGCCTATGGGAAGGTACATTCTTACTCTCCTTCCTTACCTAATTCATGCTTTTAATGTAAGCAAAGGCGGCCTTTAATATCACAAGGTGTATTTATGCTTTTCTATTTGTCATTTATAATTATGAGGCAGTATAGTTTCTTCTTCTTTGTCAATGTCTAGAGTAGAAAATAAAATTAACCTGACCAGTTTTGTTAAATAGCAGCGGTATGGCTTAGAGCGATTTTAACGAAATATTATCGTTCTGCTGTAAACTATTTAGTATTGTCGTGTAGCAGAATTTAAACAAACCTCTAAATTTTCCGCAATTGACAACATTGAACCTGGTCTTCACAGTAACGAACAGGAGACTCTTGATATCACCACTATCTTTATGATAGTTCTAGTTTTTTTGTCAAGGAACCAAAATATCTGCACAAAGCACTCTAAGGTTTATGTTAGAGGTGACACCAAAAAGCCAGGGTGTTAGGGAGAAAATCCATTACTTGAGGGTTTTATTCTTTACTTATAGTTGAGATAGCTTGTTCGAGAGCAACCGTTTTAGGAGATAGAGATCCATTTGATTTAGGGATTAGGGAATTTAAGTGACTGGTTTGAGACATGCTCCACTTTTCTATGCTGACATGTTTTTGGCAGTTCTTGATTGTATTTTACATGCATTCCTTTGATTTGTTTCGAGGGACATAATTAGTAATAACTTTTCTACAGACCCCAGAACAATTGCAGAAAGAGAATGTTCCTCAACATCTTGTGTCACATAAGGTAATTTCCTTTCTGTTACCGCACTGCTTTTGATGTTATAGAGTAAGTAAGTAGTTCCCTTACTATGCGTTGATTTGGCTGCAGACATTTTCAGGCAACCGACCTTCTGTCAGCCTTCTGCTTCCATCATTGAATGCTTATAATGTTGGACAGGTTTGTAATTCTTCTGCTCATATTATATGATTAATGATTAAAAAAGAGTCAAGGATCCATTTGTTTCATTTTTTATGAAGTGTTTTCTACGTTGTGTAATAAGTGATTGTTTTTTAGCATTTTTATGAGAAGCTACTTAAAACATCTAAAAAATGTCTGAAAAATTATTGTTTTGATATTCTAATTCTTAAAAAAATCTCATTCTAAACATCTCGAGAATTATTAAAAAAATTGAATTTATTATGAAGGTTTAAATTGTTTGATTACTCAGTGGTCCTGAACTATTTGAGGATTTTCAAATAGGTTTTTAAAGTAAAAAAGTTTAAAATCAGGTCAATAAACTTATCAATAATTAGTAACAAGTCCCTGAACTAATTTTTGTTATAAATAATTTGTAAGTAAGTCCTTCTTGACCTTAAATAGTTTATAACTAAGTCCTTCATGAACTTATATAATTGGTTTTTCTGTACAAATTGAGTTCTTGACACTAATAACAGTTCTTATGCTTTCCCAGTTGTTGGCAATCTATGAACACAGAATTGCTGTTGAAGGTTTCATATGGGGCATCAATTCTTTTGACCAGTGGGGAGTGGAGCTAGGGAAGGTATGTGTTTGATTAGCGACCTTTTCGTGTGCCTTGCATGAACAATACGCCTGTCATGCCTTTATGTTCAGATTTGCATTTTGTATCTTTTAGAATATAAGAAAATAACTTATACTATATTTTATATTATATTTGATATTATGTTTGAGTATCTTAGTTTATTTTCTCCGAAGACTATATAATCACAGAGTATCTTTAATGATTTTCCAGGGTTAGTTTTCATACTAATTGTTATGATAATTTGTATTATGACTTTCTTAGAATAAGTGTTTAGTCTTTTGTATTAAGCTAGACCCTTTTTGAATAAACAACTTAACTAAGCGTTTATTACAATGACTTATCATATAGGTGTTTATGTATAAACTATTTTTGTAATAAAAGATAAAATAAAGTCAAACTGTTTTTATATAAATTATAAGTTGTTTTCATAAATAAGCTGAATACAACTTATGAATATAAGCTCTCCCATTTACATGTGCTTATTTCAATAGTAAGTTTAAAAAATAAGTCAATCAAAACAAATACTAAATTTCATTTTCTTTTTTGTTTTTGCTGCATGATGTTAACAACACAGTCATTAGCCACTCAAGTGAGAAAGCAACTTAATGCATCTCGCACAAAAGGAGAACCAATTCAAGGCTTTAATTTCAGCACTACAGCTATGATAACAAGATATCTACAGGTATATGATAAATCCTAACTCTGTTCTAAGAATTAAGGAAATAAATTAAACATATTTGTAGACTTTAAACTGAACATTGGTTTCTGATTCACTATACAATAAATATTTATAGGTAAAATTTTTGTCTCTATAATTTTTCTATTTTTTATTTTTTGTCCCATAAGTTTTTTTCCCTCTAAATGATCACTAAAATATACAAAATTTTCATATTAATTCCTATTGTTTTGATTTAATCCATGTGATATACTTATTTGTTTGTTATTGTAATATTTGACTTATGTTCAACAAGTCCTTTTATGATAGAGACTCAAGAAGAAAAAAAACATATTTCAAGGACTAACATAAGTTAAATTATACTCAGGGACAAAAAACAAAGTAACAACGACTAAAATTAAAAAAAAAACTCCTGAGACTATTTTGAGAACTAAAATTTGAAAGGGACTAAAATTTAAAGAATATAGAAACAAGAAATATATTTAAGTCATATTTTATAAAATAAAAAGCATGTTACTAACATGTTTATTATGAGAAATATTAAACTGTAAGATAGTGTTATCATACTTTTTTTTTTTTTTTTCATTCATTTTAGAATTTGACTTTCTTTGTTTACATTGCAGGCAAGTTCAGATATTCCAGCTGATCCTCCAACTAGTTTACCTCAGATATAACTTCCTTTTTGGCGGAAATTGATCCAAGTCATCTTACAAATCTCACTCACATAAGTTGTTTTATATACAACAGCATGCTTCATACTTTTTGTTCATGAACTACATTTTGAAAAGTTTTGGTATGTTTTCAATCATACTTTTTTTTCTTTTTGTTGTGAAATGATGTCATGTTAAAAACACCATCATTTTGAATTGGCATGTTGAGGCTCACTCAATACATTCATGTCAATGTAAGCTTCCTTAATGAATTGAATGTTGTGAAATGTGAATCATTAGCAATAATTAGTAATTTCTTTCCCTTTTTGTGTTCATTTTTTCAATAATCTATGTATATGGCCTAAAGCATTAACTCTGCTTCACTTATCATCACACTATTGTATAATTGAAAACCATGAATTAAAATCCCATCTGTTTTTCAACTTTCTGGGATACTTTATTGTTGCAGAGTGCTTGTATGATAAAAATGTACTTGACAAACAAGCAAAACTAAATGTATTGAATTTTCATGATATAGATTAACAAGGTAAAAGTTCATTTAAAGCAAATTCTATTATTTCCATCCCTGTTTTTGAGAGGAGTTCTGATGAGTATAGACAATAGCCACCACTATTATGGGCCTATAGACAAAAGCCAATGTGCTCTAGATAAAGTCCCTACATGATTCTTCACATGCATAACTTTCAATTCTTAAGAGATTGGTATGGAAGTGAAAACTAGATTGAGACTTAGAAGTGCGCTCTTCTAGAAGTCTCAAGTGTCAACAGTTTTTGTGTTGGATCAACTTATACAAAAATTTGCTCTGATTTCAATTGGATCATCAACTAATAGACAATGAAACTGATATTTCAGATTAAGTAGGTCTATTAGTATGTCTGTAAGTAAGTCTAAACTAAATATTGAGTTAAAAAATATGAATAACTTTCTAACACAAAAATGACTCTATTTTATACAATGTACTATGGTTGGTCCCTTTTTGGACAACAAAAAAAAGTAAAAAAAACAGCAAGGTAAAAATAGCTTACATCATTAGACATGTGGGGATATTCTGTGATTATATGCATACATCAAGCGTGCTTTTGGTCCATCACGTTTCAACCTTTTCTTTTTGTCTTCCATACAGTACATCTAGTAAGTAATAGTGAACTTTACTCACAACAAAATAGGCCAGCTGGTTCTTCTGTTTCTGAATAGGACATTCCAATTCGCCACTTCTCTAGATGCTTTGCTTTTCTAGTGTTACTTCTACATCAATGCTTCTCATTTTTACTCCACTAGTTTTGTTTCAAAAATGCATTCATCAAGATTTGAAATAACAGAAATAAAGATAAACTTAAAGTTGAATGAAATATACTTGTAGTTTAATGAGGAATTGTAGTAACTACCAACTACTATGTGTTTGAAAATGGATTCTAAGTAATGTATGTGATAATCTTGTGGATGTTGACAAGGCGATTTTGGTTTTGGTTTTTGATCTAACGATTCATGATGTGTTGATTATAAATTGGGAGATTTCTTGATAATGCAAAATTAGGGTTTTGTCTGAAGTTAAATTTATAAAGTCACACATTTATATATAACAATCTTAATTGGTGATTTTTCCCTAACGATTTGCATAATGAAATATCTATTTATCAAATTTGTAATATATCTTCCCGCAGTCACACATTTATTCTTAAACGATTTATATAATACAATATATATATTTATTGATTTATAATATAGACCTTACGCCAATTTCAAACATTTTTTTAATTGTTCAAAATATCTATCTCCATGCACGCAGATTTTAAATATTTTTAACTTATTCAAAGTATCTATCTCCATACATTCACATATTTATACAATTGAAAATCTCGACCATTGATCTTGACTGAATGCCTTATATAATAAGATATATACTTAACAAACCAATAATTTGGACCGTTGGATCTTGTTTCAATGTTGTCCATGTGTAACTACATATATTTGTAAGATTCTCTTAGTACAAGAATCTTGGTCACTATGAACCTATGTCACAGTCCTATCACTCTTTTAATAGTAGTGACTATTGGTGATCTGGTATTGCACGCCAAGACCAAACACTCTCTAAATTGATTCTAAGTTGGATAAGGAAATCATCAACAAATAGTATAGCCAATAGTATTTGTCACAAAGCAACATTCCTTGTTTGTATTATGTTTCTTTGTCTCCTCAACACCTTACATCACATCTTGGCTTGTTATATTCTCTCATCATCACTCCTTTACTCTTTTATTGTGGTTATCAAGTCCCCCACATCACTAACAAAACTATCATTCTTGCTTCCACATGAAAACCACTTTCTAGCATTGATTTATAGTCAAGTTTTCTAGTTCTTTACCTCACAACACTAAGCAAACAACAAGAAGATTTAATCTTCCAATATGGAGATGAAGAAGAGTGAATGTGAGAGAGAAACCAAAGAACAAGAGTTCAATGAAGATAGCATACAAAGTATAATGTTCACATTAGGTACTTTTCTCCTAATGGTTTGTCTAAAGAGTTTCTTAGTTGAAAAATGGCGTTCTTATGTGTTCCTCTTCCTCAATGTGATTCTATTAGCCATTCTTTACATGTCTATGAAGCCAAATTATTGGAGTAGTAGAAGTTTAGAAAATGAAAGCAATGTTGAAGATGTGAAAAATGATGACAAAGAGAAGAAAATGGAATGTGAATTTTCTCAAGAAAAAGAAATTGAAGAAGATGAAGAATGTTATAAAAAACAATGTTGGAATAATACTAGTTCTAGCACTAGTAGTATTCATCATGTTGACGTTGAGAATGAGATTGATGAGGATGATGATGAAGAAATTGAAGAAGATGAACATGTGGAAGTGTTGTCTAAGGAAGAATTGAATGAAAGAGTTGAAGCATTCATAGCAATGTTTAGGAAGCATTTGATATCAGATGATAAACAAGGTGAGAACTTTAGGCACCACAAAACATCAAATTTGACAACAAAGATTCAAGTTTCTTGTTGTTGAGACTTATTAGGTTCTAAAGAGAGATTGAGAGATTGCTAGAAGTTTGTTTTATTTATATTTATTATTCTGGTCTAAATGATTAAGGATGTTTTCTTGGTACTAGATTGTTTGGATTGATGCAATTTGTAGACATATTGTTTACATCTATTCTAATATATTAAATTCATCGACACCTCATCATTTTATACCATTTTATATGCACATAATATTATTTATGATGCAAACATAAAATCTTAGTTGTCATGGTTATAATATTTTTTATTTTAATTTACTTATTAATCTTTTATAGTATAAAAGTTATAACTAAATGTGATTTAATTGGTTATCCAAAAATTGGAGCTCATAATTAATCATGAAATATCTCTCATACACAGCTTCCTATACCACTCTTTCAAAAATAAAAAATAAAAAAATAGAGCTAATAATGAATGCATGATATTCAAAAGAATGATCATCTTTAAATCACATGCATTTTATTCTTTTTATCTACTCATAAGTTATTCTTTTTAAACCTAATCTTTTGCGTTTCTAACGTATCACCCACATATACAATTCATGAAGTATTCTACACTTTTTTTTCTTCTAAAAGAATTGGAAATCACTTAAGTAAATTTGTCTTCTTTATCTATAAATATAAATCAATGTAACAGACTCTAAATGTATTTTACCTTTAATTTGCATTTTCTATGTTTACATGTTTCTATTATGTCCATTTATTATTATTATTATTATTATTATTATCCCGTCCAATTCTTTAAATTATTTAGATTTAATATGTTTTTTTTTCTTACTCTACTATATAATTTAAATTATTTAGACTTAATATGTTATTTTATTATAATTTAAATTATTTGATATTCTATTAAATAAACATTGTACTCATTTCATCTAATGTATAAAGTAATTTATTTCATAATAAAGAATACCTTTTTAATATAAATTCAACTCCTTAATTTCTATGCAACTAAAAAATTATCAGCATTGGCCTTAATAAATTTAATAAATTTATTTTTTTACATTTTTATCTTTGATATATATATATAACAAGAAAGAGAAAATGAGTGTATTATATATATTATAAAAGAGAAAAGTATACGCGTGTGAGAGAAAATGTATTAAATTTTTTTTAAGGAATAAAAGTGATCAAATATAATTATTTAATACTCTATCCAGAGTGTAATTGGGGCAGACACGGGTTAACAACCTTTTTATTTAATTATTCTTGAAAAGTTTTTTCTTGTGATAAATAAAAAAAATTGATAACATGTATTAAAATAAGTATATGAATTTTTTAATTTTTACTTAACTTATTTCTAAAATGAAAATAAGATCTATAATTATATGATTTAATATATAAATTAATTTTTTTTATGTGAAATTAAAAAGAAAGTAACATATTAAATATTAAGAACATAATTGACATCGGTCAACAATTTCTCATATATATATATATATATATATATATATATATATATATATATATATATATATATATATATATATATATATATATATATATATATATATATATATTAATAATGAATAAGTTATATGAGAATGTGAGAATGAATAAGAATTATCAGATTTAAAAAGGAAATTTTAAGATTAAAATATATTTTTAAAAGTTAATTAATGATTTCTTCCTCCTCTTAATGACACATGATTTAGTAAAAATTACGATTTAATCTCAACTTTTTATTTTTAATTTTGATAGTTCTTATTAATTCTCACATTCTCATATAACTTACTCATTCTCAATATATATATATATATATATATATATATATATATATATATATATATATATATATATATATATATATATATATATATATATATATATATATATATATATATATATATATATAATATTTTTCCAATAAAACATTCTATTATGTTAAGCAAATATTAACTCTATTTATTTTCCTTATTTATATCACAAGTATAATATAATTAACATTTAATTTTTATTATTTCTCTAAGTACAATTTTTAATAT